TAGAGCTGAAAGCAATCGCGGTCAGACTAATGCAACACGTCACTTTCGGTGATGGTGGTCTCGAAGTCAATGCAGGTGGATTCATCTCAAAAATAACGCTCATGCCAAAGAATATTGGTGTGACAATAAATTTCGACTAATTTTCAATGCACTTCAAACATTTACTTTGTCATTATAAGAAAAAAAAATTATTTATATACGTTCCCATCCCATACCTCTTGTAGAAGTTTACTTCCCTTCCAGCTTATTTGCATGTCATTAAGTAGTGCCTTATTTTTATGATTTTATTTATCGTTTCAAATGCTTATATATAGATGGCAGCCTTGTATTAATAAAAGATTATAACTTTAGTGAAAAATAAAAGTAAAATGTAGATAAGCAATTATTTATTGTTGTCAATCGAGAAGACACCTACGAATCCGTCAATGGCAAAAACAGGGGTGGCGGAACGTGTTAAAATCAGGTGAGGCTCAAAAATAGCTTTTTACATACTAGCATGAGACAATGTGAGTGAATTTTAGGTGATAAGCCGCTTTTAGACTATATAAATTTTTTGCTATCAGAAAATCAATACGCTAACTTATTTCATTCTTGACTAACAAGATTTCTAAATCTTTATAGAAAGATAAAAATTTCAAAAAATATGAGGACCATTTATTTTACACTAGAGCATTGAACCAAAAAAAGTTTGTCTTTTTTCATTTGATGATATAAATTTGGACATGATTTGATTTGCATCAATTTCATCAAGTTTTTCTTTATAAATATGTGGTAATAAACAATGATTGAGACGTGATTGAGTCATTGAAGAACGAATTGCATTTTTTAATCTATTTAATGTACTGAATGTACGTTCGGCCGTGGCCGTCGTAACCGGAATGGTTAAATACAGTTTGATTATTTTATGATATTCTTTAAACATTTGTTTACCTATTTCACATGTATTTAAAATTTCACAAATTGTTGAAATTTTTGTGATTTGTTTTATGTTCATCTGATTTGTTTTAATTACCGATCAGAGTTGCCACCTCTTCTGCTTTTAGCAGAAAAATTCTGCTTTTTGAAGATTTTTCTGCTTTTTTTCTGTCGTTTCTGCTTTCTGAGCATTTTTCTGCTTTTTAAAAATATTGTATTATTAATATTTTAATCAAGATTTTTGCTTTTAAAAGATTTTTTCATCATTATAACAAAGTTCTTGTCCATACTTACTAGAGATGTATTGAGAATGAATAGTGCCTAATACGGATAACAACTTCTCTGTTGCAAAAATCCACAAAACTCGACGAGATTCTTATGGAGAATTGCTAAAGTTGATTTCATTTCGCTGTGCGTACAATCAAACAGGTTGACTGAGATTAGACTTTTTACTTTCTTATTGGTCTGGTTGGTTGTATGCATAGCTAGATGAAATCAAGCTAAGTAATTCTAAATAAAAATTTGATTGGACCTTGGCAATTCTGACAAAAGAAAACTTCTCATCTTTCTTACAGAATCTTTACTCTCAATACATTCCTAATAGTTATTGATGTTTATCTTCTATTCTAAATGATGATAATTCAACAGTGAACAAAATTGTCAGATCTGATCAGTTACGGGTGTTTATTTTTCCTCTCATTCAATCACCACATTTTAAAAAGTTCATATATTTGTTTTATTCTCTATCATGTGGAAATGCTTATGCTGACTCAGCATTCTCATAATTGAAACATTTATTATATGATCAAAGGACTGCATGAGAAGAAAACTTATATCACCTGAATTAACAATACGTTTAAAATTTTCCTTATCATGAATAAGATGTGTAAATATTTATTAGATAATCAAGATTTATTAAAAGCTACTTAATCAGATGACAAATATGTAGTCAATAGAAAATGTATCTAATAATTCTATTTGTCAATTAAGTAGTTGTATTTCTTGACCTTGTACAATCCTATTTCTTTATGAATTGACTATTTTTCATGATTCTGTACAAGAGAGATCAAAATTTGATGTGAAAATTCTTCATTAGTACACTGGAACAAAGTTTAAAAACGTTTACATCACAAAAAATATGCTTTCTGCTTTTTTTCTGTTTGTCAGTAATAAAATTTCTGTCATTTTCTGCTTTTTATAAACTATTTTCTGCTTTTTGGACTTCAAAAGGTGGCAACACTGTTACCGATTGAAAAAAATCAAAAATCATAAGTGCTTCACCTTTCAATCTTTCAACATCGATATCACCATAACAAAAATCCTTAATTGATTGCACACAATCATTTGGATCATCAAGTGAATTATTTGCTACATGAATAATAAATTTCTCAACATTACATAATAATTTAAAGTTCTTTTGAGTAAATCTGTTTTTTAACATATTAACAACAATATCAAGTGCTTCAATATATTGTTGGCGATAAAATTCTTCACAACTAGAAAAATTTACAACAGCTGGATTTGAATCATAACGTTTTGGTGGTCTTCGATGTCGTGGTAGAATAGGTTTATCTGTTAAATCTTCACTGTCTTTGACTACACCACTATAAAACGATTTAAAATTACTATCATCTGAAAAAAAGAAACAAATTAAGCAAAACAAATGTACCTCCACTTTTCTAGAAGTCTTTTACCTCGAATACGTTGAAAATGATGAATAACAGATTCAGCTGCACAAATAACATCTTGTAAACAACAACTTGAACCTTGTATTGTACATGAAAGTCTTTCTGTAGCTGAAAATATTAAGCGGCCCAATTTTAATCCAAAAAAGAAATTAAAATTACTCATTGTTTCTTAAAGACCATTAGCTTTTATACCAGGACCACCTTTTTCTTCAGCAATTGAATATAAAGCTTCTTGAACTGAAAGATAATATAAATATTTCGATTTTTGAATAATATATCAGAAGAAAAATAAATTATATATAATGAAATGTTATATTACCTGGTTCGTAATTTTTTAATAATGAATTATATGATTCAGCACGCATAGTCCATCGCATTGGACATAAGGGTGTGAGATTTGTATAAGACATTGATAATTGATTGGAGATTTCTTTTAAAATAGCAAGACGTTTTGGTGATCGACGAACAAAATCAATTATTTCTTTCACAAATGATATACAAGTACTAATTGTAGCACATTGATCAGATAAATCATGTACAGCTAAATCTAAACAATGAGCTGTACAATGCACATACATAGCTTTTGGCTGCTGATTCAAAATTAAAGCTGATACACCACCATAAACTCCGGACATATTCGACGCACCGTCGTAGCTTTGACCACGACAATCGAGTACATTTAAACCACACCGGGTTAATACATCACAAATTGCTTCAACAATTGCTGGAGCATCTTGTCGGGATAATTCATAAAGCCCAAGAATATCTTCAAATATTTCATAATTATCATCTACAGATCGAACACCAATACATAATTGTTCAAGTGTTGATTCATCACATGTTTCATCGCATATTAAGGAAAACCATTTTCTGTTGGAAATCTGAATAGAATAACAAAAGTATTTTTAACTTCATATGAACTCAAAAAACAATGTCATATCAATTTAGAACAGAAAGCTAGAGACATTGCAACTTGTTTTCATTTTCTAGAATTTATAGATAACATAAATATTTTTTATCGAATGTAATAGGTAAATCTTATTGCACAATGTTAGTGCTGCATTCCATATTATTAGCTATTATGGTAACAAAAATTACTGTAAATCTGCAAAGAAAATCTTAGATGAAACCAGTGTCCTGTTTCATTGTTCAAGAAAAAAAATCTCGTATGTTCTGGAAAGACGGTTCGTTAGACGCTACACGATAGTTCTAGGTAGTTTTCTCAATCAAACAAAGCTATACGTACTACGTACTTCTTTTACAATATCTCGAATAATGAATAAATAAATTTCTTTACAAAGTTCATTGATTATATCATGTGATAAATATTTCTTGTCGTTGATCCATTCTTTTAAAAAATCATTATCAATACTTCGAAGTTTTAACAGTTGAACCAAATTGCTTTCAATATCAGAATGCCCTCTAAGTGCAAGACCTTGTCGAAGTAAATATACAATACATGAAATTTGGATTGAAAGAGCTTTTCGACGTTGTTCTTGTTGTCTTTTGGCTGTTGATATTAATTGAGCTGTTACAGTTGGTTTTGTTTGTTGACCAACAACATAAATTGAAGTAGCATGCATTTTTGTTGACTCATGAAGTTTAAATCTTGACGTGGCATTCTTCCAGTCACAAAAACCTTCTGTTACAAAACTTCTATAAGAAGGATGTAATTTTGTATTTGGATGAATTTCACGTTCAAATGCAACTCGACATGGATAACAAAAAACTTTTCTTTTAACCTCAAATAAAAAAAAATTATATTTTATAAATAAATTTTGATTTTGATTGTATTTGTTTTACACGAAAACTCACTTTGCAGAATGTTAGCCAAGTATGATCCAGAAACCATTGTTTTTGACATGATCGTTTATCAATTGTTGTTAAGACTAATTCATCATCTCTAACAGGATGATATGGCGTAGACGAATTGCAGCAGTATAAATCACATTTAGACATAAGAATTACGCTTTGAGTAGATAGGTTAGATGTAGATAAATTTAATGTTTGTGTTGATGATGTTTGGTTATTTTCATTTGGTGATTTATCAGAATTATCAAAAATTTCAGGTCGGTTTTCAGATTCATCAATATTTTCCAATAAATTATTCGTATTAGACAAATGTAATGGATTAACAAGAGGAGTAGTTTGAGTCACAAAAGGTGCTGCAAGAGCTTCATCTCCAGAACTTGTTGAAAGATCAGTTAAAGCAATTCCTTCTGTAGATACAGATGTTGTTGTACTTTTTACTTTTTTAGTAAAATATTCCAAAATTGATCCAGCACATCGTTTTGATGCCATTACTGTTTATAATCTAACTTATTAATTGTATGATTATGATCAAAAGAAATGTTAGCACTGGTTATACAGTTTTATTAACAAGAAATGAAAAAAGCGTGTGTATTTATAGGGTCGTGTCATATGTTAAACAATAGTACAAAGATAGGTGATCACGCCAGACGTATTGAACAATAGCATAAAGAATGATTGTCATACCGAACGTTGAGTAATAGTATAAAGAACGATGGTCACGCCAAATGTAGAATAATAGACAATTGAAAGATAACATGACAGTCAAGGGTCACCTCGATAACAAGAAAGTACTGTTTATCTGTTTAATATTCATATAAAAATGAAATCACATTTTTCTTAGCAAGACTAATATGATAATCTTCTAACGCACTAGTTAAATCATGACTTTATAGCATTCAAAACATATGAAAGCTAGACATTTAGATAAGTGTGCAAATAAACTCATTTTATACTGTATTTTAGTTGATATATTCACTGACATTTTAAACAATTACTATGGATGAATTTCACTGAATCCATTAAAAAGAATACGAACACACTCTAATATAACTAGTTTTGATCCCTTTTGATCGGATAATTCTACAATTGGTCTAGTACACACGACTTTACGTAAATGAGATAAAATGTCTCGCTATGAACCATAAGGACATAGTTAGTGGGTTTATTATTGTCTGAAAGTCTTGGTTTTCTTTATCACAACATGTAAATAAATATATTAGAAGTTCGAATCTTTGCACTGAAATAATATTCATTTGATAAGTCTAAACCATCATGCAAAAAAACACCGAAAACATAATTTGGGTGAGGTTGAGCCTCCAGACGCCAAATTCGGGTGAGGCTGAGCCTCCAGACGCCAAAATCGGGTGAGGCTCATGCCTCACCCAGCCTCCAGCTTCCGCCGCCTATGTATATAACAATATTAGAAAAAGTTCATATCTTAAGTAGAGTAGCTATAATCTTCATTTCCAGCAGATGTTCTTATCTGGATATTTTTTTGGAAAGATCAATCAAATCAATGAAAACAATTCTTTTTTCTCGGATCTTTTATATCAATAGAGAATATTCAAGCTTTTCCGTCTTCCGTAAATTTCACCATTGATTTAATAGATTGTTTCGATGATATTTACTATTTATAATCTGAAACTCTTTCATGCTCTTATTTTGAGAAAAAAAATTCTTTATCGAAATATTGGATATAAAAACAATATAACTAAAGGGGCAGCCGACTGAAACTTGGATAGAGAAGGGTGTGGGTGTGAGTATAGATGTCGGGTGTGGGTGTGAGTGTGTGTGGGGTGTCGGTGTGGGTGTAGGTGGGTGTGTGTGGCGTGTGGATATGGGTGCGGGTGTGTGGGTGTGTGGGTGTGGAGTGTGTGTGGGTGTGGGGTATAGATGTGGAATGTGGGTGTGGGGTATAGATGTGGAATGTGGGTGTAGGGTATAGATGTGGGGTGTAGATGTGGGCGTAGTTCAAATTAAGACTAAAGCCCATACCCACACCCACACCCACACCCACACCCACACCCACACCCACACCCACACCCACACCCACACCCACACCAACACCCACACCCACACCCACACCCACACCCACACCCA